GCCAGTTGAGCTATAGGCGCCGAGCCAGCAATAACTTTTCTAGTAGCTAAAGTTTTTGCTTCATTTTTCAGAGGCATTTTGGCAGGCAGCTGTTCAGTGACTTTGTTACCAATGTCTCCCAGTGCTGTCCTTGGCCTCAGTCCTGGCTTGGTGGCTGCAGCAGTGGCCATAGGCACACACTTTGCACCCGCCATACTGATCTTCACCTTATTTTCAGCATTAATTTTCATGTTCCTGGTGACTCGGAGTGCCACGGCTTCCTCTTCACCAAACAGTAGCTAAGCAGGGAAAAGCACAACACCGCAGCCCCAGACCAGCAGAGGCCTTGAAGCCACTGCAAGTCAACAGCCATTCCTCCGCAGCACCGGTTAAGGCCGATCTTAACCACTTGCAGTCTGTACCCAGACACAGTCACAGGTTCCAGGGACCAGGATGTGGATATTTTTGGAGGGCCTATTCTGTCCACTGTGGGTGCCAAACAGAAAACTTGCTTTATGTGCTGATTACCTGGGGCTCGGCTTATCTCCTCTCCTGCCGGAGGCTTCTTTAGGACAGGGACCCTTTGGGGTGCCTATTGCTGTATAACAATCCATCCCCAGACTCAGTGGTTCAAAGTAATAGTGATTTCTCATCACTCACATGCCTGTGGGTCAGCTTGTGTCAGCTGACTGAGGCTGGTCATCTCTGTGTCACACTGTGGGCTCTGAGTCTCTCCTTTTCCTTGGACCCATGGGGCAGGAGGTGGGATCTTCCCAGGCAATGACAGAGAGGCAAAGGTGAGAGGTGACATATGGCACTTCCTATGCTTAACTTTGGAGCTGTCACCTGCACCCATCTGCCATTGGCCAAAGCAAGATCCATGGCCAAGCCCAAAGCCAAGGGGTGAGGAAGTGTGATTCACCTTCCATGAGGTCATGGCTGGGATGAACGCAGGGAGGAGTGAGAAATGGGGGTACAATTCAGTTCGCTTAGAAACTGCATCTCAATTGTATTTGTTTTCCTTGATGTCCCAAAACATTGTGTTTTACTGAGTTGGTTCATGAAAATATATCAAGTGAATGAATGAATGAATAAATGAGTCCCAGCAATAGGAAGTACTCAGCCAGGCTCACAGCGTCTCCCACTGTGGTGGAGATGGACTCCATTCTCTCGCTTTTGTTCTCCACTGGAGATGACAGCTGGCAGAGCACAAACACCTGACAGTGTGTCTCCTCCTTTGTGTTAGGAAACAGCTCACAGTTCTGGAGGGAGAATAGGAGAATACGCAAGGAGCTTGTCTCCCTTCCAGAGAGTGTATGGGGGGCTGTGGAGTGCTTGGGAGGAAGTGGTTCCTGCAGACAAGCAGGCACCATGCCATCAAGGCCATCTCTGCTACCTTCGTTCTTTCTCTCCCTCCCTATCCTCAGCAAATCTCGGTTGTCTAAGCACATCCTTATGGGACAGGTCTTAGGCTGGGCCTACCATGCTCAAGGCTGCCAATGAGGCAGAGATGAGAAGATTCTCCTCTGCTGCCAAGATGCTTATGATGGGTTAACAGGATACAGCCCCATTGTAAACTAAGGAGCATCTAGTGCAGTTTCTAAGCGAACTAGTGCTTATGGCTGTCTGCCATTGTTAAGCAGCAATATCTGATTGATATACAGTCAAATTGCATCATTTTATAGATGGGAAAACTGAAACTTCAGAAGGTAAAATGCTTGCCTAATGATAAATAAATAATAAATAGCAAAGATCCAGATCTCCTGATTTCTAACCCAGGATTCTTTCTTTCTATTACAGTGTCACCTAGCTTCTGGTTTCTTTCTTCATTCATTCAACAAATATGTGTTCCTGGAGATACATAGATGACTCGGGAGATAGATCTCAAACAGACCACGAAAAATGTGGCAAGGGGTAACAGAGAAGTGCTCAGGCACCAAGAAGAGGCACCTAACCCAGCTAGAAAATCAGAACAGGCTTCCTGGGGAACGGGGTGTCTGAGTTGAGTCCTAAATAAGAAAGAATTGACCAGGCAAAACTGAGGAGGAAGGTATGAGCGTGGGTTGAAGCTAGGGCACAAACTGGGGCTCTGTGTGTGGCACTGTGGGCAGAGGGGAGTGGCAGAGGGGAGCATCAGTGGGTGAGTTATCCAAGCCACATCTTGGGGCTGGGAGCAGCAGGAGAGGGCCTGGGGATGGGAGTAGAGCCCACCCTGGGCCTTTATCCCACAGAGAGCTCAACCCTTTCACCAGCAGGTGATTTGGGGCCATTGTGGGTGTGGCCTTGGACGTACAAACTCATTCTCTGGCCATGACGAGGGACTGGACAAGCTGGACCTTGGGGGGGTCTCTCCAGCTCTAAAACCTGGGGGGATGGCCAGAGCTGGGCATACCATAGAGGAGGCTATCTGTCCTGGCAGCTGGCCAGGCCCTGGGCTGAGGAGAGAAGCTCCCTCTGTCTGTGGGGCAGGGTTTGGGTGGCATCTCAGGGAGCAGGAGACTCTTTCTTCCACCTTGGCAAGGAGCAGGGAACTCTCCTCCAAGCCAAAGGCTGGTCCAGGAACATGAAGAACAAGGACAAATTGGACATTCAACATTAAATATAGGACTAACCAGATGGGGGAAATGACTTTCTATTTCCCTTCCTCTTCTCACAGAGGGAACACGGGGGCGGTGGGGATTAGTCACTGACGTGAGGGGGCCTTTCAGACGGCCATCCAGGCTCAGAGAGCCCCATCCTTGTGCCCTGCCTCAGAGCCCTGACAGAGACTACCTGGAGGAAAAGCAGACACCTAACATGAGAAGCCGGTGTTTAACAGAAGAGGGCAATCCAGCCAGGCTGGCAAGAAAATTCCAGGTAATTGATGTTATTTTCTCATTGACTACGTTCTGCTAGAAAAGATTTTTGTTACGGGTGTAATCAAATCACACTTAAGAATTCTACTAAAAGATTACTTTATAATGAGAAAAAAAAAAAGTACTTTAAAAAAGGAATCTGTGGTATAACATCCTCAGAGGATGATTTGGCAATGCTTTAAGAAATGAGAAAAGCACACATGCAGTGATTCCACTTGTAGAAACTTGCGTGTGCACATGCACACACCTGTGTAGGGGAAGACACCCTCTACAACAATGTGTATGGAAGTGGCAGATTGGGGATAACCAATAGTATCAGCAAGGGATGAGTAGGTCAATTAACTGAACATTCACAGGGTGGAATGCTATGCATGCAGGAACACTATTGGCAGCTGTCTACAGGGAGATTTTCACACAACTCTGTTGAACAAAAGAAAGCAAAAGAGAAAACATTGGGCACATCACATTGCTTGCATGAGGAAAGCAAGAAAATGAGGAGTATGGATATCGAGACATGGGCAAGACTCTTTGCTAGTTTTCATAGCTGTCATGACAAATTATCTCAGACACACATGTATTCTTTCACAGTTCTGAAGGTCAGAATGCTGCAATCAAAGTGTCAGCAGGGCTGTGCACCCTATGGAGACCCTAGGGGAGTATGACAGTTAATTTTATGTGTCAACATGACTGAGCCCCAGGGTGCCCAGATATTTGGTCAAACAATATTCAGGGTGTTTCTGTGAGGGTGTTTTTGGATGTGATTAACATTTGAATCTATAGGCTCAGTGCCCATAGCACAGTGGTTACAGTGCTAGCCACATGCACTGAGGCTGGCGGGTTTGAATGCAACCCAAGCCTGCTAAACAACAATGACAACTGCAACAGAAAATAGCTGGGTGTTGTGGCAGGCATCTGTATTCCCAGCTACTTGGGAGGCTGAGGCAAAAGAACCAGTTAAGCCCAAGAGTTTGAGGTTGCTGTGAGCTGGGACGCCACCACACTCTACTGTGAGTGACATAGTGACACTCTGTCTCAAAATAAAAAAAAATTGAATCTATAGACTGAACAGCACTTTTTTTTTTTCTGCCTTCAAACTTGAACAGAAACATTAGCTCTTCCTGGGTGTTGAGTTTGCTGGCCTTTGCACTAGAATGAGACCATCAACTGACTCACTCAGTAAATCTTGGGACTTTACCAGACTCCAAAATCATATAAGCTAATCCATATATGTACAAACATATATATATATATATATATAAAATATATACCTGTATATTCTATGTATGTAAGTGCATATAAAAAACAAAAGCAGAGTGTTCTGTTTCTTTTCAGAACCCTGACTAATCAAGACAGTCCTCTCATTGCCTCTCAGCTCCTGGTGTCTGCTGTCATTCCTTGGCTTGTGGCTGCATCACTCTACTCTCTGCTTCTGTGGTCACATTTTCTCCTTCTCTTCTTTGTGTCTATTTTATAAAGATATTGTCATTGGATTTAGGGCCCACCCAGATGCTATAGGATAACTTCTTCATCTCAAATCCTTAATCACATCTGTAATACTCTTTTTTCCACTAAGGTCACATTCACGAGTTCCAGGATTAGAGCATAGTTGTGCCTTCAGGGGCCATCATTGGACTCTCTTCAGATTCTGGCTCCACAAGAGAGTACAGGCTTTCAAGAAGGAAAACCAATAGTCCATGGTGAGCAGGAGACTTGATTTTATAATGGCTCTTTCTGTTTGTTTGTCTTCTCTTCCCTTCTCCGTAAGCACATATCATCTATTTCACAAACCTCAAACAGTAAGAAATAATGCACCTCAGCCAATGTTTGAAGCACTATAAAAAGCATTATATCCATCATCTAACTAGAATATCAACCACCTTTCTCAGAGGCCCTGAGCAGTGTCCGGCTCCCCAGATAGGAGTTGGTCTTAAATGTCTTGCATAGCCAGACCCATGTATAGGAAGAACATGATTATGGGGTTTTCAGTCCCATGGGCTGGGCATGGTGACTCACGCCTGTAATTCTAGCACTCTGGGAGGCCAAGGCAGGTGGATTGCTTGAGCTCAGGAGTTCAAGACCAGCCTGAGTAAGAGCAAGACCCTGTCTCTATTAAAAATAGAAAAACTAGCTGAGTGGTAGAGGCACATGCCTGTAGTCCCAGTTACCTGGGAAGCTGAGGCAAGAGGATTGCTCAAGCCCAAGAGTTGGGGTTGCTGTGAGCTATGATGCCACAGCACTCTATCCAGGGTGACAGAGCGAGACTCTGTCTCAAAAAAAAAAAAAGAAGATAGTCACAATATTGCAGTGTACTTAAGCAGGCTACAACCTAAATTCCTGATGGTGAAAATAAGGTTTCTGGTGCTGTCAGTGCAGTAGAACTAGCCCCTACTGTAGAAACAACTCCTAGACAGAGACCAAAAGCGTCTTCAAGCCTCTTGCAGGCCAGGGAGGAATGGCTGGAGCTTGTTTCTCATGCATCTCAGATTGAACTCTTCACTTAGCTTTCACATTCAGCATGTAGGAATTGTCTTCACTTCCTCTAAGGATTGGTCTATCTCCCATCTCTTCTTTCTCTGATCTGTGTTTTGTTTGCTTACTTTTGAAAAAGAGGGGCTTTGAGAAATACATTCCTTTCTTCTTGACTCTCCAGAAAGAAAATCATCTGGGCAAATCTGATCATAAACAGTAACTGACACTTGGTCTTACAGTGGGGAGATCTTGGGGGTTGGTGGGAACTATGACAAAGAGGACAGCACGGCCTGTCTCAGGGACAGCTGTTACTCAACCCCAGCCCAGTGTAACCACTCTGGCACGTGGGCCCAGAGATGCTGAAACTTCTAGCTTTTCAAGAGAAGCCAAACATCCAAATTTTTATGTAAACTCCACCAATAATTTAATTTAGGAAAGAGATTTAATTTCTTTTAACTGCTATGTAGACCAAATAAAACACATTTACGTCAGATTCTAGCCTACAGCCCTCATTTTCAAACCTAGGTCCTAATGTGTTAGCCCTTTAAGTCTGTAGCCATCCTCAAGTTATGGCTTCACCACCACTTTTACATCTAAGCAATCCTTAATTTTTTTTTCATTTTTCTTAATTCTTAAATTAAGAGCTTCATGTGGTAGTAATGAAGACACACCAAGACAGGGTCCTGGGATGTGGATTCATAGCCCAGGGAGGTGCAAGCAGAAAAACAGGCTCCCTGCTCATTTGGGAAAGTGAGAGATGTGTCCAGCACAGGCTGGAGGAGGCAGTGGCTGCTCCCTGGCTAGTTGCCTGGTTGTTTTGGACATTTGCTTGTGTAGACTGT